AGAGATCATGACTTAATTATAGATCATCATTGCATACTTTAAATTTGTGTTAGTGGACATTGTTCCTTGTCCTTTGTCACAAATGTTGAGTTTTGAAGACAACTAGAGATTGCCGGCCAGAGCAACAGAACCCCCATCCCTCCAGGCTGGGCCCTGAACCCCGACATTTTCAGCAGAGTCAAATTAACACCAAAACAAGGTCTGGAAGTGAACGCTCGAGAGCTCATTAATGAGAGGTTGACAGTGGCTGCAATCACCTGTATGGCCACACTGTTGTTCCTGAGGAGGGAAGTATTTGCATTTGTCTGTACTGAGATACAAAACTGTGGTTTTAAATTTGCTTCCTCGAAGCTGGTATGAGTCTGTTCAACTTCCCTGAGTGCTGGATGTGTTGGAAATCCCAGCCCCAGAGGAGACAGGTTCATTTTAGCCGGTCAGGACACCTGCTGACAGGATCCCAAACCTTCCCTTCACACATCCAGCACACAGCCTGCAGCTCTGTGACTGGGGAAGCCAACATTTGTGTTCCCCTCATTCACATTTTAACTTCTTCATTCATAAATGCATTAGAAAACTTTCTAATCTCATCTATCACTTTCTTAGAGCCCAAACTAAATTACAATTGGCCCTTCCACCAGCCAAATCCACCTTAGATTTAAGGATTTCCTCTTCATTTCCGCAGGACGCTTGGGTCTTTCAAAAACATTATGTTAGCAAAGGAAATGTCCCATGTTTTGTCTTACTGGTCATCCATATGCTGCTAAAAATAACATCTCTTCATCTTTCCAAGGCTCCTGCATAATCTTTAATCTTTTTCTACTATATGTCTATCATATTCCTCTAGCCTCTCTAATTTTAATGCAGTACACAGTCAATACTGGAAGGTGGGTTGGATATCAAGTACGTGAAGTCCAGAAATTCAATCGACAAAGAAGATGCACCAAAGTCTTTCTCACCTGAATCACAGTGTGTTTGGAATACAGTGCTCAGAAAAGAGCTTAATCAACTGTCTGTTAACACAGTTACCCAACCAGAAAATTCTCCTGTGTTCATTCAATGAAAGTCCCCACAAGTTGGATTTGTCCCCCACAAGCTCAGACATCGCACTCTTACCTCCAAACCCAGCGGGGAGCTGCACACAACAGGCCCACAGGAGCAGCAGGTGGGTCTGCAAAACACAGCAGAGCAGCTGCAGGCAGGGAAATAAGGCTCCTCAAGGCCAGGCTGAGCACACTGAGGAAGCAGGAGGGCCATGGCAGAGGGGGGCACTGCACTCACAGGGGTCATGCTGACCCAGTTGGTGTTATTTGCTGTTCCTGCCCAGTACTGGGGAGCTTTGGGGCTGGGTGGCCTTCAGGAAACCTGCCAGGATGACGTGCCTGGAATCCCTTACACCTAGGAAGGCAACCTGGCCCACAACCTTTCTGCTTTTCCTGCTTCACAGTGATTTCAGTTCCTCCTTGTTTTAACCCCCAAAACAGTTTTGTTTTCAACCAATCCACATACCATTTGGAGCACCCAAAGGCATTAGAAGCAGAAAAGCTGTTCTGCAAAGGTGATAAAATACATGTGAGAGCTCAACATGTATTTTCTGCTCAGTGTCTCCCAGTTTACTTTTTCCCTTCATATTTGTACATCTCCAGAAAGGCAGAGTGTGGATTAATAAAATATCTTGATTGTGCAATGGCATCTCTGAAGAATCATTTAGGCTGTACAGCAAGGCAAAAATAATCAATTTCTCCTTTTCACTTCTTTTTCCTCTACAAAATCACCTAAGCCTTTTTTTTCTTTTCTTATATATTAATTTAAATGTGAATCGTTTCCTATCAACTTTTGCTGATCAGCCTGAACAAATCTCTTGAGTACCTCGTTAGATACTCCCCCATTAGCCTGTAGTCTGACTGGGATCTCACTCCTGTGCTGAGCAGCCAAGGGCAGGAATGGTCTGGGAGTGTCTGACAGAGCCTCCTCCTCCTGCAGATGTGCAGGGCACCAGCTGGGCTGCTCACCATTCACCACCAGAGTCTTAAATGCAGATCTCTGAGATCTTTCTAATTAATCTTCAAACCACATTGCTTCACAACTTTAAAAATACTTCCTTTATGTTCTTAAAATTTAGAGTTAAAGACCTGAGCCACAGTGTCTAAGCTAGAACAACTCTATTAACTTTAGCTTACATCCCCCCGTTATTCTTATTTTTCTAGATGAGAGTTTTGATTTTGATTTTGAATTAGGTAGCAGTGGATAATCACACTATGCTGAGGTAAGAAACCATTGCTTTTTCCTCAAAGAAATGCTGGGGAAATTGGGAAATCAATTTGGATAGACAGACTGCAGAGAAGGGTACACGGAACCAGAGCCACAGTTCCTCAAAAGGTCTAAGAAAATGCAATGGGAAAGACGAGCAGTTTTTTCTCTTTGACAATGAGTATCTTAACATTGTACATTATGAGGTTGAATTGATTTTGTTATTGAACAAGTAGAGCAGTTCATAAACAATTTATACCAAATCCAAGCACGGCTTTCAAATGCACATTTCCCTGGTTCTGAGCAGTCAGGAACAGCACATCCACAATCAGCTGTGATTACATTCAGATTTCTGCCTCGTACAGTGACATTTGTGTTATTTCTTTTTCTATCAAATCCCTTTTTTGATTCAATGTTTGATTGCAAGCCCCAGTGTACCCAAGGTACCGATGTCTCCTGCAGTACCCACTGTTCTCTCGCATTTGCAGCGCAGTGGTTTAATGCAAACCTGTGCTATTGTCCAGCAGCCCACAGACGTTCCCCATGGCTGTGCCCGCTGGGAAAAACCCTCCTGGCTGGGCTGCTGACACCACCTGCACCAGGGACACCTGCCAGGCTCAGCGTGGGGCCTGGGAAAAGGTCTCTGGGGTGGCACCGATGCCAACTGTCCCGCAGAACACCTCCCAGCGTGGCTGGGGTGCTGCCAGGGACTGCAACAGGTTTGTTCAAGGGCAGTGAAAGCAGAGATTCCCTGGACTTCCATCACCAGCCAAGCCGAAGCTGGCCAAAGCCCACGGCTGAGTGAGGAGGTAGAGCAGCTGTTCGGGATGTGCCCAGAGACAACATCCCCCAGGGAAATGCACAGCACAGGGACCTGCAGGAGCCAGCGGGACCCTCGGCTGCAGCTCGGTGTCACCGGCTGTGCTGCAGGGCCAGCCTGAGGCTCTGGGATGGAGGGACAGTTCTGGGATGCAGGGCCAGCCTGAGGCTCTGGGATGCAGGGCCAGTTCTGGGATGCAGGGCCAGCCTGAGGTTCTGGGATGCAGGGCCAGTTCTGGGATGCAGGGCCAGCCTGAGGCTCTGTGGTGCAGGGACAGTTCTGGGATGGAGGGCCAGCCTGAGGCTCTGGGATGCAGGGCCAGTTCTGGGATGCAGGGCCAGCCTGAGGCTCTGGGATGCAGGGCCAGTTCTGGGATGAGGCTCTGGGATACAGGGCCAGTTCTGGGATGCAGGGCCAGTTCTGGGATGCAGGGCCAGCCTGAGGCTCTGGGATGCCAGCCTGAGGCTCTGGGATGCCTTCTGATGGGGCCAGTCTGGGATGCAGGGCCAGTTCTGGGATGCAGGGCCAGCCAGGGCCAGTTCTGGGATGCAGGGCTCTCTGGGATGCAGGGCCAGTGCAGGGACAGCCCCAGCTCAGCTGCAGTGCAGCACAGAGGGAGCCTCTGGGATGGGCAGCTGGGATGCAGGGCCAGCCTGAGGCTCTGGGATACAGGGCAGTTCTGGGATGCAGGGCCAGTTCTGGGATGCAGGGCCAGCCTGAGGCTCTGGGATGCAGGGCCAGCCTGAGGCTCTGGGATGCAGGGCCAGTTCTGGGATGCAGGGCCAGCCCGAGGCTCTGTGGTGCAGGGACAGCCCCAGCTCAGCTGCAGTGCAGCACAGAGGGAGCCTGGGGGGCAGCTCAGGTGGGCAGGAGAAGCAGTGAATCCTCCAGGAGCACACGGATTGAGTAGGAAAGAGTTCCCTGATGACACTCTTGCTTTGACCAAGGAACAGGAACAGGCTGGTGAAACAGCTATTTTTGTGGATGTTTAGGGTGCATCTTCACATGACACAAAAAAGTCACCTCAAAGTCACCTCAGTTTCATGTGTAAGAAGAAAGAGCTTGTCCACAGAAACACAAGTGAAATTATCAATTTGCTGTACACATTTAAGCATGTTTATAAACTGAAATGTCACAATTAGACACCTCTGTGGCAGAAGGAGAGACAGTGGTGGTTTGGGTTTTTTTTCTAAAGAGATAAAAAAATAGGACTTCAATAAAAATAAAATCCACTGACTTTCATAAAAGACAAAATAAAGGTCATGGAAAAGGTTTTAAGTCTTCTCGGGAATAAGAAGTTAGTCCTGTTCTCAGACAGAAAGATAATCAGTGGCAGGCCTGGTCTGTTCAAAATCTTTCTTGCTCAAGAAGTTTTATTTCCCCTTTTTTTCTGCTTACAGTAGGAGCCACTGAAAATTTAGGAAGTATTTCAAATATTTTCCACTTTACTGCAATTCAAAATAGAGGAGTGGAAAATACCCCCACAAAGAGTTTACAGTGGCTGAGGAGTGACAAACAAGCCACGTGTACTCACAGGAACACAAATTACTTCATCTCCTGTTAAATTTTAATCTCATCTACAACTGTGCTAATTGTAAGTTCACATGAATTTTCAGCTTTCCATGTCCCAAAATCATGTATGACTTTACACATTCATGAGGAAAGGGCAGGAAATAGGCAAAATATTACCAAAATTTAGGACGACACTGATGGTTTTCTTCTTGTTAACCAGATCAGTTTTAGAAGACTCAGCTCCAAACTTATTCCCTTCACTATTGGGGCATTTCTTAGAAGCTTTAAGGAGAGTTTGAAAAAGGTTTTGAAAAGAACATGGCTCTGAGCCCACTAAAGCTATGAAAAATTGTCTATTTTAATTTTGTAGATGTGACTCAAGTCCTTAAAAAAAGCACAAAGGTGGAAAAAGGATCTCTACCTTTCCCCTGGACTTCAGGAAAGAATCTTGGATCTGGAACAGATGAAACTGCGTTGTGCTTCTCTACATATTCTCTTTACTGATTATTTTCTTATCCTAAGAAGAAATGCAATTAGTTAGACACTGAGCCATACGATGGAACAAATTTTAATTGACAGAGGAAAACAAAAAGATTAAAAAGAACAATTAATTTCTTCTTTATTGCTCCAGAATCTGTAATAATTTGCACTCAAGCAAACAGTAATATCTTTCATCTGGAAAACATTCCAGGGTAATACTTCTGTGGTTTCTTCTTTTGTTTGCAGATATTCAGTGGCTTGTTAAGATCATGATTAGATCATGACACCTCTAATTCTTTGGACGGTGATTCATCAAACCTCACAGTTGCTACCCAGACACATGGTCTGGCCTACAGAGTGAGTGAGAGAGTAAGAGCTGTTTTCCAGTAGCACTAGGTTTGCACCTAGTGCAAATATTTAACAACCCGTTTCCTTTTTGCTCTGTTAAACAACAACAATTGCTCATTTCACTTCTTTTCAGAAAGGTATTCAGAGCTCTAATGCATTTGTAACCTGCTGAGATCAACCCCCCTGCCGGGAAGCGCAGCGCTGTGTAACTGCCCTGCTGGGGTGCAGCTCCTGGCTGTGAGAGCAAGCACAGGGGGTGAGCAGAGAGCAGCTCCAACCAGCAGCTGCCCACTTGTGCTGGGAGCCTGGAAACCGCGGGAGGATCACACCTGAGGATCAGGTGTGAGAGGATCAGCCTCTCACACACGAACAGGGCATCAGCTTTCTTTCAAATTCAACCTTGAAATCTAATAACAACCCCTTCCTAGGAAAGAATTCTCCAAGGCTCCTGCCACCCCCACTCCCAGCGTGGCTCAGCCTGGAAGCTCTCCTTCCTGACAGTGGCACAGAGAGCAGCTCTCACCTGCCTGCCGGACACGGGGCACAGGGACAGCAGCTCCACAGCAGCCCCACTGAAAACAAGGACTATGGACTTTGGAAATTGTCGCTATCGCTTCTCTCAGCATAGGCCAAAATATTTAAATCAGGTCTGATGGCCAATTTCATTATGTGGGACGGGCCAACTTCCACATGTTCACGAGTTCTCTTTTGCCTCGTGTTCTCCAAGCCAGGGCTGCAGACGAGGACAAGGCTCAGGGTAGAATCCTGCTGGATATGAGGCTCTGTTCCCTCTGGTAGCATGCCTGAAAGCTCTACAGCACTGTGACACTCAGTCTGTACCACCAGGAAATCCCAGGAGACAGGAGAGGATACAAGGGAGGTGAAGGCTGAGCTTCTCTACAGCTTTCTGCAACAGGTTAACACATCTTAGTGCCTTAGTGCCTCTCATGCCCATGAAAACTGCCAATCCTGAACTTTCTTCAGTATGGAGGGCTTGTCTACACAGGGAAACAACTGCAGAATAAGCTAGGGCATAGATTGAAGCACTAGTATGTATTCTGGTCTCATCTCTGATTCATAAAAGCACACAGAAAGCCCTAGTTGCTACTAAATAGCTTTTTCAATATGCCTTAATGTACCTTTCAGAGATGCATCCTGCACGTTGAGAGGACTTGTTTAAAGCACAAGAGAGTTCCCTCAGTTTGGAGGCAGCGTGTCTGTGTGAGGGCTGGCATAGTTTGGGATAAGTTAATAAATAAGGATTGCCACCTTTTGCCAAGGCATCCCAGACATTAACACCGAGCAGCAAAGCAGTGCTGGTACCAAACTGCACAGTTGTCATAACAACAACCACACGGCACGGCCCGGAGCTGAGTGAGCCACAGGATTCTGAAGAGAGACAGAAATCAATTAAACCAAGGGATTCAGGACCTCTGGGCTGCTTTGGCCACAGGTCCTTGGAATGGGATTCTCAGTATCTATCCTAAGCTAAATAGACACAAACATCATATGAAAACATGGCAAAAACTATGGACATCTCCTTTTTTAACCCAGGATCTTTCCAGCACATGCTACTGCCAGGCTGTCTGCAGCACCTGGATGGACCAACACTGCTTGTTTGCTTGTGCATTCACAGTTCAGACGCTCACAGCTGAGCTCTCCCCTGCAAAATACTTGTGCTGTGCTCTGCTCAGGTGGAAGGATACATGCCAAGAGCAAACACTATCTGTTCTCACCAGGGTAAGAGTCTGGACTTGCAAATCTCTAATTTTCCTTTTTTTTCTCCAAAAGCTCAGTCTAGAAACTTATCGCCACTTAAGGAGAGAACTGAAAGACTGAGTCACTTTTTTTGTTCTCTGAAAACTTGAATTTTGCAATCAGTTTAAAGCAATTCAAAATCCTGTCCTCAATTCCACTGCAAATACATTTTTTGCAAAACCATCAAAAATGTAACAAATGCAGGTCACAAATTCCACAAGACCACAATAAAATTAGCAGATTTTCAAGAGAAACTGGTGGTAGAAAATACTTTGAAGAAGCCCATGACTTATCTGTGGAACAAGTTGCTGTCAATTACTATTGAGGTTACAAACTCAGTGGAATTCCAAGAAGGAAATCTTGTGGGAGTGAGGCAATACAAAATATTGCAAAGTGGATAAAATCTTTGGGGTTTAGAGCTGTAGCACACCACTAATAGCTCATTTATGGCAAATACTTGACTTCTAGGGAGTCGAGTATCCCTAAAACTTGTAAATCCTGACAGCAACCTTGCAACCACAGGCTGCCACAAGCCAGGTTAGGTATGCTCACATCGCTCCTATTTGGGGATGTAGCCTGACCTTAATCACACATTTCCAAATAAAGAAATAAAAAGTTCTGGGGAGTAGCAGTTCTGATGAGCAGACAGAAGTGATCAGCTCCACCTGAGTCCTGCAGCATGCAGATTGAGAAAAACAGCTCACTAATAAAAGGAGAAAACAGCAACAGTCATCTATTTTCACTCACAGCTTACAAAAAGCACAGATCCTGTAAGTGCCCGTTAATGGTGTTATCAGCATATTAATCAAGCTATCCCCTCAGGACTAGTTAGGGTCTGAAAGGGAAAAAATAACTGCAAACTTTTAGTAATTTCACCAAACAAGAGCTGAATACTGAGGGTTAATGGGAAATCATTTACTAACCACTATTATTCTCAGGGATAGCACGTTCTAAAATTATGGGTCCTTATGGAATAGTATTTTCCGTAATAACCAATCAGCTGGTCTAGAATATATTTTATAGCAGCATCCTCCCAAAGGCATTTGCCAGGGGAAACATTCCAACTGTCTGTATTACATTTGAAATAATGATAATACCGTCTCCTTGGCAGGGATACAAATGGACATGGGGTTTTTCCTGTGTTCCCTCCATTTCTTCCACTGGAGCTGACATAAATGTAGGTCTTCCACCACCTGAACTACTGCTGTTATATTATTTATGTTTTAATGAGTACAGCCTCACAGGCCAACAGCAGGAATGGAAAGCATGAGGATCTGGCTATTTAGTGTACACCAGCCAAGTTAGCATCAACTGAACTAAGAGAAAACCACAAATACAGCGAGGAACAGCAGGACTCCAGCAACTTTGTACTGGGTCAAGAAGAAATATTTCCAGAAGTAGCAACACTATCAACATCAGGCAGTGTATTTTAGTAACACTTTTCCATGTGCTTCACTGTTTGAATTCAATTCCTCGATTCAGACATGGGTTCTATCAGTGAAACATCATTGAAATGGCGAGAGAGTTGCCCCATGAAACATTAACCCATGGCTGTGTTTCAGGCTGGCACAGACACTCCTGGTGCTGGGCCACCAGGGCACTCCAACATTTGGGGCTGTGGCTGCTCCCCCACGGGACAGCTGGGTCACAGCCACGGGACCCCACAGGGGCCAGACCCGCCCGTGCTGGGAACTGGCTGGGGCAGAGCTGGGGCTTCTGGGATACCTGTGCTTGGATCCATCTTCATTCAGCCGTAACTACAGACTGTGCTGTGAGGAATTCAACAGCTGAACAGAGAACAGAGGGACATGGAACTGATGAGAGCCCTTCTCACCCTTCCTTGGTGCTGCAGCTTACACAAGAGCAAGGCAGGCAGTGAGGAAAGGGCAGGTTTTCAGAATTACAGCAGGAGTTCAGAGACTAAATTCTCTTCCCACACATCTTCAGGAGCCCTTTTGCTCCCAGTACCAATTCTCTGCACATTCCAAAGAAGTATTTCCTCCTATCAAGCCCCCTTGGGACTCCTACTTGTAGGAAAAGCACAGTAGCCCCGAACTCAACAACCTTCCTGGTATTTCCCCCTCTAACTTATTTCTATCCCATTATCTGCTCTACAGAGCTTTTTCCCACCACAAACACCTCTCCCCCCGCAGTGGAAGGAAGGACAGGGACACTCATATTTACTTGCAGTCTGAAAATGGAGGGTTTGTCACAGCGTGAGAATTCCCAGCACCCAAAATGGATCAGTTCCATTGTTCATTCAAACTAACACAGGTGAACTTTCCTTGGCGTGTGAAAATGCCAACCCTGGGCAGCAGAGAGAGCAACGTGGTCAGAATCATCCCCCAGCACACGCACAACACCCCGGAGTTCTACTGCTTCAGTAACAAGTGGGAGGGGGAGGAGAAACAGCAGCAGCACAAGTTTCTTATCAGAACAAATCCTCCTGCAATGAGAGAAAAATTAGAGCTTTGCATTCACACCAGTCTGTGGTGGCTTGAGTGTATCCATGGTAACCCCCATCCTTCAGAAATTCCAGTGTGCATCTACAGGCTGATTCTGCTTCTACATTCCACTGCCACACGGGCAGAACTGAGAGCACTGGAGTGTCAGCTCCATTAATCTGCTTCTACTTCAGCTCCACAAGTGCATTAGGAAGCAGAAAAGCTCCCTCACATCCACCCTTTAACCCAAATTCTCCAACATGCTGCTGGAATTTCTGGATTACTCTGGTCTTTGACAACAGTATTTATTGTCCTGCACCAGAAGGATGAGCCCTGCAGGATTCTGAACAGTTTGAATGCATTGTTGAGCACCATTTATTAACGTCTGACTGATACATAAACTTTTGACTATATCAAAAAGGATGAAAATGATTTTGTTGTATCAATACCATTTTTTAAAATTCTTAGCAAGAATATGGTATAGAGC